GATCAACTTGACAATCAGTTGAATTGTCACAAGAGACAGATCAACCTGACAATCAGTTGAATTGTCACAAGAGACAGGTCAACCTGACAATCAGTTGAATTGTCACAAGAGACACGTCAACCTGACAATCAGTTGTTAGCATGCAGCCGTTTGTGATCTTTACAGCTGTTAATCTAACTGTGCTCACTGTGACAAACTTCCATGAGTTCTTTCTTTCTTTCTGAAGGGTAAGTTTGAACCAAGCACTATGGGAAACCTAAAACTACACATGGATTTCCCAGTGACCTTTGATTTCCATACTGGTGTCTTTACTGAGTGAGTTACCTTTGAAAGCATCCTGATTACGACCCAAATATTGCTACCATGGCTGTAAGCTATCCTGATCAAGACCACATTGCAGTATTTCCTGAACTAGGCTTCACATCTTTGTTATGCCATTGACTGTTTAGAAGACTTGGACTCCAAACCACACATGACTTACCTCATCTTCGCCATCCTCTTCATACTGCAAGAAATAAAACACATCATTTCGGGCTTTTTCACAAAATGGCTGGACACGGATAAAGGTCCTTACTCAACTCAAAGATTTGATGTCACTTTACTGAATGCGCTTCTATCTACAAACCAATTTGGCAAATACCAGTGTTTTCAGTGTGAATAGAATAAATGATTTCACTGACAAGAAAACTCTCCTTTCAATTTTGCCAAAATCTTAAACCATGGCTATGTATATATTCCTTCTCACAAATTCTTATCAATCGTAAGATTTTTCAATTTTATCCGTAAATTTGACAAAGAATTCAATGGTTCTTAGCAATTCCTACCTCATCATCCTCAATTGCTTCCCCTGTGAAGTATAGCACAGCTCGTGGTATAATGCGCTCACGGATAAAATGACCAATCTCAAAATCTGCACTCAACAGGTTCTCTGTTTCCTCATCCTGTGACATAGACAATCAATGCAAACAAGCGGTCAAAAGCCAGATATCCGGAGCGATTTGTGATACGTGCAGCCAAGCGTTATCTCAACCGATAGGGGTGACTTTTTAAATGGTGTGCAACACAAACAGAAATGCGTTCAGAAGACCACTAGACACACAGGGTCTAATAATGTAAACATTTCTTTATTCTGGTAACACAGCAAGTGTTTAACATGCGCCTTTTCCAGAAGTTGGTCTGGTACCGGTACAGCAGCAGCCTCTTGCTACCAAATGGTATGATGAGTGACTCCTGCTTCTTCAATAATTCACAGTCAAGTCGGCAAATAGGATTGTTCCTTGTCTTCGTTGCATAATCTAGCTTCCAATCTCACCCACTTTGTTATCACACTTCAATCTACTTTCTCCTATCAAACTGAATTCAGATTTGCTGGCAAATACATGCATGGCCTAGGCAATAAAGACAAGCAGAAGTAACAAAAATCAAAGCTCATAAATGAGACCTCTTCCCAAAGGAAATGTTGTGGAAAGGCTGCACAATGTCAGAGCTGAGATTGACTAAACACTATCACCCACATTAATTACGTTAAGAAAGTTAACAAGGGCCCAGCTTCATAGAGCTACAAGTATCTTGAAACAGAACATTGGGAAATGATAGCATCAGGTCAGTGAAACATTCTCCTTCTAATACATACTGCAGAGGGGTTACATGAGAGTTTACTGATAGGCCTTGACATTAACACTAAACCGGTGCAAAATAAAATCCCAGTAGAGAGTGCTGTGGACTATTAAAATTCATTCTTTAACTTGCCTGGTGGGCTGGTAAAGAAACACCTGTTGGAAAGTGTCATTTGTCATATTTGTAAAGATAAATACAACAACTGTTGTGAAACTGATTGTGGATGCTGTTTATTATTAATTGTAACGGTTGAATTCTACACTATTTTGACAGCAAGACCGTACTGTAACGGTTGAAGTTTAAGGATAAAATTTTTAAAAGCCAGTCAAAGTTAGTTAAGCTAAAAAATGTCCATCGGGTCAGTGGAAATTCCTGTGATCATCATCATCATCTTTGGTTTTACGTCCTTCTTTCCCTAAAAGCAGGGGTTGGGCTAGTAAAACTAAAAACCAACTGGCCCGGCAGGCTAAGTGAAAAGCATCAAGGTCTGTTACTGGAACAGCTCCTTGGGGTTGACTTACCACCTCAGCCCCATCCTCAGGGCCTTTGGGAGGACTGAAAAAATTGAAGAAGGAGTCATTCTGCACCGTCTTGGTGATCATGCGCGTGGTACCCTTGCCTTTATGTTTCTGCTTCTTCTTGATGACCTTCATGGTCACATTCTTACCCTTCTTCCAATCAATTGTGCAGCTGGAAACGAGATTCAAAATGTGCCAATTATAACTCACAATGTCAAAGGAAGAGACACGGTACATTACAGCAATCATTCTGTGACTTGGGATCACCTTGAGAAAAAAAATTGCAGGGACCATAGAGAGCTGGGGAACCTCTGGTCCAATTACCAAAGTACTCTAGTCGCAAAGTCATCCATACGGCGTTTGTAGAAGACTGGTGAAATGAAGAAAGATCTTATGCACAATTGCAATACTCGCATCTTTGAGATTACTACCATCTACCAGAGCTTCAGTTCATAAGTCTTCAAAATTAGCTACTACCAGCAGATGGTAACTACTCACAAACTTTGGTGGCACCTTGCTGTATGCCTTGCAGAGAGAACTTCCAGTTCCCATCTTTTTCGTTTTTCCAGAAGTAACACACATAAGGTTCAGGACAAATTTCCCAAATGCAAATTTTTCTGGTCAAAATTGCTAGGTATTATATTCCAAGTACTACGTATGAATAATCATGTCAAACTTTTACAAGTATTTTTCTCTGAATTGTACTTACATTCATATATGGTAGTTTGTGAAAACCAAAATCTTAAAATCACACGGTAGTGTATAACTTTTAATGTACTTTTACGAAACTGCTATAGTTAATTAACCCCTTGACGACGGGAATTTCTTCTCGAAAGCCGACTCCAAGAATTTAAGCCTCGCTTGGCCACAAAGGCCACCTGCCAAACCGCAAATTTTTGGTTTATGGCCTCTGCACACTTTGAATTACACGGTGAAAAGGCCGATTGTTCCGTGGCACGCGGCTCTACTCACCCTTCCACATTCCCCTTGCCTCTTTTCAAAGTAGGGACTCTTGTGAAGCTGGTGATTATGATGCAAAATCGGTCTTTGCATTTCTGGGCTACACACAAAGGCCAATCACCATATATACAAGAGCCAGGGTCTGCCCTCTTTCACTGTGTTCGCTCCAGCGTGGGCCAAGAATAATAGCTGAAAAGCGGGCTGAGGATCTCAATTTTTACGGTGGCTATAGCAGCTTCCGGGCGCGAAGGGGTTAAAGATGTTTTCAAATAAAGGTACCAAATGCATCCAACCTAGACTGTGTGTTAGTTCATGATGATGTGACGATATGTCTGTGCCCTGTCCTATTCAAAATCTTAGCAATGAATAGATCTAATACACAAGCCACAGTTCAATGACTTTCTGTGCACCATTGGCAAAATGAGTACACCCCTTAGTTATGCCAGCAGGTGCTAAGCCTTAGGAAGAGAACAGGCAAACACATTACCTTGCAGTATAAATTCTCTTCACCAAATCATCACATTGGGTTCACATTCTTTTGCTCTTTGCTTGAGTGGTATGGACTTACCCTGATGAGCTGATGATCTCAGGTCCTTCAAAGCTGAATGGGTCATTTTCGTCTGGCTCTGATCTCATCTGGTAACTCTTAGTCAGGACGGCATTAGTGAAGTAATCATTCGCTGAAAAGTGAAACTCTAATGTGAAGCCCTACAATAAGAAAACATAAAACTCATTGAGATATCAGTCAAGGCATGTAAGCACATTAACCACTTCCCACCGGGGAGCCCTGTTTCGAGCACCGTGTGTTTATACGCAGAGCCAGGGTGCCCGGTTTCGGACTGTACTCGGAACAAAGGACCTGCTGCTGGGAATTGCCATCATTTTTCGAAAGTAATCTGGCACTGTTTTGAAAAAGTGTACCACTGTTTTGGGCATAGCGTGCCTGTGGATTAGCATCGCGGACAAAAGTGCTCTAGGGCCCCATTGATGAGCGACACAGTGCCACTGCACGCTACTCCAGCTGTGTATGAAAAGACACTACTGGCATTCACGGGAACAAAGGAAATTATGCAACACCTCAAAATTCTGAGCTCTCTTTTACAGGGCTGAATATTCAGGCGTCAATGAAGGTTACCTGACAGATAAAAGTAGCTACCAGAGAGTTGTTCGTGTGGGTGTAAACGTCCAGTAAATGAACACATGAATTATTGAAGAATTTTGAAAACGGAAAATCTTGAAAAGGTCCCACCATCACATCCCTCTAAAAAAATCCACCTGGCAGAGAGTGGTTAAAGACCAACTCCACAACAACAGTTTTAGAAGTTTCTAAAACAAACTCTTTTTGTGTTTAGTGTGTAATAAATCACATATTCATTACCAGATCATGTCTGTATTGCGTCTGTATTTTTTGTAATCAACTAGAAATTTCCATGATAGGAAATATCATGGAAATTATATTTATCATTTAAATATTTCCATTAATAGAAATATTTAATATTTTATTAATAGTGCATAAATAACAACATGGATGAATTGTTCACCTTTCCTGTACCTTAGCTATAATCGAAGTCGTGTACGATATCCTTTTTGTGCAACGGCATGCACAATGTTGAACGCTGTAACTTCTCGCAGGATTTTAATTTTTCTTTTTTGCAAGAAAGAAGAATTCTGATCTCTCACGTTCCAGATTGTATTTATTTAATTTTTATTTGCATAGTTTTATACCAAACACTTGCGGTCCAAGGGCCGAATTGAGGTTTGATGTACAATTAAAATACTTTAAAATAAAACGAGCGCACAATGACCCATATTCGTATAACACAAAAGGTTGAAAGCAAAACCAGTATCTTGATCCGAAGAGCCGTTATGAACAAAATGTTCAAAGGGAACGTATTGGTTGCTAGGAAGGTTTAAGTCTGTATTAGACTCAACTATTTCAAAGCTTGATTTCTTAGTTATGGTTTAGCTTACCATTTGTGTTCCCTCATGGAACTTGACTCTAATGTCTTCAAGATGATGAAGAATTGGCTCATCATGGTCTTGTATCATATCAGACAAAATGACTACATTTCTCATTGTAGTCAGCCAGAAATCGGGAATACCACTGGGTGATTCTGTGTACCAAGAGAGGGGAAAATGACTTCCACTCATTAAAAAGCACAACATAAAAAGCTTTCTGTTTGTCCCTTTTACTGACATTGCAAATCTGTGACTTTAAGTTTGTTTGAACCACAACTCCTTACATCCTACGAAGTACACATTTAAAGGTTTCAACAATGAGTGGATTGACAGAAAAATTGACACCTTTAAACATGTGCTGCTATACATTGTCTGACCACTTTGGGGGCCTAATTCTACACATTGAAGTGTTCTCACCAGCTTTTTATGTTTTAGGGGAAGAGCTCCTTTCAGAGGTGGGGGAGTTTGAAAAGCGGGGGACTGTACGTTATTTTAAATCTGGGGGCACTGTTCAAACACTTATGCAACAAATAAAAGTTATTGTGTTCACAAAGCTAGTTACCAGTGTAAGCCCCGGCAGTCATTATATAGTAGAGTGCAACTGAAAGTTGGGAAAACGACTGGGGAAAAATGGGAAGAGAATCGCATTCTGCTGCTTTTCCCCTCTGTGAATTTGAAGTGAATCTGGTACAAAAATGTGTGAAAACAATGCAAAAAAATTGTGAAAACAGTGCAAAAAATGTGCGAAAATGGCACAGAGCAGAAAATTTGCGAACAATGTGCGAAACATCTGTGCGCAAAAATAATGCAAAAACTGTGCATAAATAATACGAAAATGATGAGAAAAAAGGTGTGAATATGTCGGTGCAAAAGCCTGCTCGTCTAGGCCACATAGATTCTGGACGATGTAGACGTCAGAGGCATGGAGCAAACACACTCTCAACGGATGTGAGTTATGGTTGTACACTGGGCCCATGTGTCTAGGGTCCAAAATCGGCCACTGCGCACATGATGTGGGCATGGGTCGTTTTTGTGTACAAACGCGTAGTCACCCAACTCCCAGTAAACATGATGCAGTAAACTGATTTCTTTTGACTTTTGTTCCTGGTTTTTGGCGCACTTCACTGATATTTCTGAGTCTTTTTATATGCTTAAGTGGCTGAGGGTTGTAATTTCTAGCCACACTCAAGTTTCTGGAGAAATTTGCTACAAAAAATTTGCCTTGTAGGCCAGATTTTTAGCCTCATGGCGCGATTTTAGTGTCACAGCCCAGAATGTCAGCATCACAGCACCCTACGCGAAAGTGAACTGGCAAGAACACTGCTCTGGTAGAGCCTATGACTATGTACATGAGAATTTTCTTGAATATTTGGAGCTGTACTTTTCATCCATAGATCAAGCTACAGTGTGTAATTGTTCATTTGAAAATCAGAAGTCAACTATTATTAAGCATGTTCATAAAATAAATTTATAAAAAAGGCCAACTACTAGTCACTCAAAACTACAAATGTTACGTCCATCAAAAGAAACTTCTGTTTCAGAATACAAACGCTACTGCTATAGTTATAATACATGAGAATCTCTTCCCTTGTGTGTCATCAGACATATTATCTAGGAAGCCTAATTAACACATTATGTCATGCAAGATATCAAATCATTTAAAAGACTAAAATATCTTCAGGTACATGTTCTAGATAGTGCATGGTTTCCATAAATACACCATCAGTATCCAATGTCATTTCACTAATTGTTTATACTTCTTTCAATTTCAGTTCAACATTCAGAATAAAACTTGGCTTTGAAGTTGCATTCTCCAGGTTTTATCTCCTGTACTGCAGCTTTTAGATAATGCTTACTTCCAATGTCAAAATAACAATAATTTTAAATTAGAAATTAACAAAAATTTGGAAATAAACGGCTTACCTTCGTCTTTATCTTCATCTACCTTGGCCTTTTCTTTTAAATCATCCTGAAAATGGGAATGACTGATTGTCATGGATCTGCAATTGTCACATTTAAAGTTCTTTGCACAGACAAGGCAATGAAACTGAACAAAATGCATGACCAATATATTCTACTGGACCACTTATCTTTAACCCTATAACCACCCAAATACATTAAAATCCATTTCAACTTTTGGGTGGATTTTGATGGATTCAGTCCAGAAGGCCTAAGGAGACGTGTTGATGGGTCATGATGGAGTTGGTCCAGGTGGCCTGAAACACTGCCGAGACATTCAGTGCATGTTGTCGTGGCAACAGTACTGATGACATCATGTGAGCCATGTGTAATACATGTACTTGTAGGTCTGTCAAAAAGACCATCATGCCAGTGGTGGACTTTTAGGCAAGAAATGTGGATTGCACAGAGGGTGCTGAATTGGATGGATTTGGTCCAGTGCTTAGAAAAGGACAATAGGGAGTTAGGGTTGAAAGCTCTGAAAAATAAAGTCCATGAGCCATTTTTGATATCTGCACTGTCTACGGGTATGATACATATACCAAGGACAATTTGTCTGTTTATTATGCCCTTTAACCACTTGCCTCCAGGGTTTCCCGAACTGGGCTTCTTGGGTTTGTATGCATAGCCAGGGTAACCGAAATCTGACAAGAGTTGGGCCTAGTAACAAAAGACCGTACTCAGAACAAAAGACCGAGCTGCTGGGATTCGCCATCATCTCACATTGGCATTAGCAGAGGTAATCCATCATTATTTTGAAACAGTATACCACTGTTTGAGGCATTCAGAGCCGGCAGATTATCAGTGGGGACAAAAGCGCTCCAGTGCTCCTGCGATGAGTGATACAGTACCGCTGCAGGCTAATCCGGCCACGTTTGAATAGATGTCACTGGCATTCAGCAACTGACTGGGCCAATTTCGGGAACAAAGGAAATTACGCAACACCGCACAACACTGCCCAATACTAGGGGGCAGGCCTGGCTGAGATACTCAGGCATCAATGGAGGTTCTCTGTCAGATTAGAGTAGCTACCAGACAGTCATTTGTGTGGGTGTAAACATCTCGTAAATGAAATTATGAATTTTTCAAGAATATTGAAAATGGAAAATCTTGGGCTCCCCCTGGAACTCATCCCACACATGCAAATTCCACCCAGCAGGAAGTACATTTTGATTTGTGTCTGTACCAAGTTGGACTGATAGTTCTAGAGAAACTGATTTTCAAAAATCACTATTGGAGGCGTGTCACGTATGACCTCTGTCGATGCCATCATGACCAGCATGCACCGGTAACTATTCCAGAACAATCCACGCATAAACGTCATTCAACCAGTTTTCTAACAATGTAGAGCCTATTCGCATGCATGTTTGCTACATCAGAGTTCAGTGCTGCAATGTTTATTACACTGCCATGTCACCATTCTCAAGGACATTATACTTGGTACAGTGTGATTTGGCGACTTTCTAATGTGCGTGTCAGGAAAATTACGTCCAACATACAAGATGATAAACACTGACTGTTGGTACTCACAGCAAGTTCTTTTAATTTTTCATCAGCCTCTTCTTCCTCGTCATCGCTGCTTTCCCATTCACAGTCTGAATCTGTTGGTTCAACCGCCCCAGTTACCACATCTCTCCTCTATAAAAAGAGAACACATCAGTGACATCACTGCCACACCTATCAATGAATTCAGGCAATTCACAAAACACTGCGCCTCCAAGAGGTTGCCACAGAGAGGGTATTTTATCAAGATTACGGTGGACAAAAACAACGCCAACTTGCTGCGATTTGCATTTGAGCGCAACTTGAGGGAAGTTTTGGAACACTGGGACATTCCATGCTGAAGAAAGAAGAGGATTAACCCAAAACTGCTACTCTGTATACACTGATGCATCTTCTTCCTTGAAAAACACTGGGACTAATTCAAGATCACTGTGTGCAGTCAGTGAATAGAATTTGTCTTCGACCATTTCCCAAAGTGCAGTGTGAAATATGGCCTTTATGTGGCAACCTGCTGGTGGCACACTGCATTATGAATTGCCTGTATTGTATCTTGCAGTCAAATCAAATGGAAGTCTGAAACTCGGCTGCATTTGTGAGTTACATGTAGATACACATGTACATTGTATACATATGCACATTGTTATGACTACTTTCAGCAGCAAAGTACCAACTACTACATGTACAACTATCTATGAAGCTGGCTTCCATTTGTTTTTAATGAACCCTTCCGAAAAAAAGTCTTCTGTTACACGGTAGTTTGTTTTCTCAATTCTGAAGGGAAATGGTTGAACAAATTTCTTAACTCCATCCAGTTTGAAACATTGTCCAAAATCACCATATTCTTGTAAAAAAGAATATTTAACAAAATTCCCTGAGGTTTTACTGGTGAAAATTTCCACTTTTTTGCAACGGGAAGTACTGGTACACTGTCACAAACATATGCAGCATCATTTCAATATAGTGAACAGTGCCAAATGAATCCTTTGTTGTTCCATCATAACTCCAACCCATAATCATATTATCCAGTCAGACAATGAGTCTTTACACCAAGCTTCTTTGCGTCTATTGATATAGCCACCTACCTTTTCAAACAAGGCTTCATACATCTTGGCATACTTGCACTCTAGTTGGTGTACCTCCTCATAGAATTTGGCCTCCATCTGTGTGTACTTAACTTGGTAATTCTTCAGTGCTTTGACTCGTCTCTTCACAACTTGTGGTAAACTGGATAAAGGAGAATAAAATTATGTTAGTCGGCAAACTTTCATAGTCTCAATTATTTAAGCTTGGAAAAGTAGGAAGTAATGCTTACATACAGCATTAATTGGCACGAACAACACTTTCCTTAAAAACTGTATTTTGCAAAGAACTAGGACAGGTCTTAATATGAACACAAACATTTGTATGTCTGTATGTTTAACTCCCTTTGGGCCTGCATTGCACATGGCAAGCGACCACATTATCATCCAAGTCCCTGTGACTAGACACATGCCCTAGTACAGCCAACTATCTACACAGAATACTGATTTGATTACATCACCACACATAATTAAACCTGTGAAAGGCACTAGTATGAGAACCAGGGCTTAAACCACTTGTTTGTAAGGCACTTCCTGGTTCTAAATGACGTCAGACTTCAGTAAAATACATTTATTAAGTGCCAAGTCTGAAGTCCCAGGCCTCTTGAATCCTTTTTGGTTTTGTTTTAACTTGAGTTCAATGTTAGGTCAGTGGCTTTTGTTGTTGAATGAATGTCATGAATGAGGTAATCTTTTTGGGCAGCCAAGTCACGCTGACAACTAATCTTCAAAGCCTGCTGCGGCTTACACATGGAGGACTTTATTAACATAACAATTGATGCTACCAAAACAATAGCTTATCATTAATGAGCTGTGGCCTGAGCTACTTCGCTGCATCGCACCACGCTCACCTAGATTGTGCAAGGGATAATAATCCACTGCAAAGGTGCACAGTGGCGCGCCTAGTAACTGCATTTGGACGCCGTCCCTAATTTTATGTAGCAGTTTTTCCACAACGTAATTGCAAGGAATCACTGAATATCCATACCAATTGTTTTCAACAATGGTCTATCAAATTATTTTCAGAGCAAAAAAATGATGTCTGTAAATAATCAGGGATGGCAGTGGGTTCTCAAGCTAGGGCCAGAAATTTTACAGTGGGCAAAATACGCATACAGTACCTTAAAATACAAGTAAAATACCTGCGCACAAGATCCGCCTAAACACAGCTGCACAATGAACACCAATGGTTAAACACGCCTGAGCATCCTACCCACTTTGTCTGATGAACTCAAGAGGAGTGCCATATATGGACACTGCTTTACACCATGTGCACAAACCCTACGAGAGAGGTCTGAAAAATTCTGTTTTCTAAGTAAACGACTTGGTATTTTTCCCCCTTAAATTGAACTTTTCAGGAAATGTTTTTGCTTTCTGATGGCTAATACCCCTGTAGGTCACTGTAGAGACTAGGGAATAATTAGAGGCGTCCGTATATGGGAATTCTTTCCCATCTGAATTCAATGAAGAATCTGGCCTTTAGTTTGCTTGCAACAATGTGAACACTTGTGTTGGCTTTCTTGTGTGGCTGGCGATGGCTTACATTTCCCAAGCCCACACCACTAACATAAAACTACATTTCACAAAATCTTGAGAAAAACAGATACAGATCTGTCCACTTTATGATCCCACAATCACCACACCAGATAATCAGTAGATGACAGAAGACTCTTTCCAATTAAACTGCAACCAACTTGCATGAATGCTGGCCACCTGATCAACACATACCTTTCATTGTATCCACTTCGTTGTCCCACCAGGTTATCTAGCTGATGTTGGAGAGCTGCTAGTACCTGTGGGTTTTGCAGTGCTTTCAGTTCCACTACAGAAAATGAATCACACAGCAATCAACGTCACTTCAAAATATAATCCAATAACAATTTCAATACTAGTTTTTCTACATGTTCCCCATCACCAACAAGGAAAATACTCACAGACAGGCCATTGGGTTCTCTGTTCAGGGCTGAAAATATTTACAGTAGGTATTAAATACTGAAAGATATGAATAAAATACGCACGTAGGCACACCTTCCTGAAAGCGGTTGCACATAACGAACACTGACAGGTGTGCTGCTAAAACACCCGAGTATCCCCCCCCTTCTGATGAACCTGATGAACTACGTTTTGCTGTTGAAAGACTCTGGCCTTTATTTTTGTATGCAACAGTGTACACATTTGTGTTGGTTTGCCTGTCGCCAATGGCCATGGCTGTACATACATGTAAGCACTGTGATTTTCCTGCTACAACGATCCTCCCTGAAGCAAATGTAGTCTGACACAAAACAACCATCGCTGTCTTCTGATTCCAACCAGTGTCAGTTAAGTGGCCAGTTAATGGCCATGATGGATACAGGCTGCACGATCACACTTCATGCATGCACATAACTAAATCCCTAGTTTGATTATCAAAAGTGAAGACGAGTTGCACAGGAAACAACAAAGCCCCGTGTCAGGTCCTCACAAACTGGATTTCTGCACAATTTATGTAAGGACATTGTTTAAACAAGTGCCAATACCATGTCCATGTATACATCAAATTGTTGTATGCATGTGTAACAGCATATGGAGAGAGGAAAGCGCTTCATCTTTTCAAAGTTCCCATGTGTTAAAAATATTGTCGTTCTAGTTCTCAAAATCAGAGGGTTTCACAAAACATAAAAAACCCAGAATTATGGCAACTGCAGAAAGCCTGGTATTCTTGTGCACAAAATCAGTACAAACCAAAAAACTTTGTAAGTCACAACTTGATGTAAATTTGAACAATTTAGAAACAGAACATATATACCACACATATTTCTCCTTTCAATGTGGAATTGCCTTCTAGTTGTATGAGTAATCTTGAAATCAGCAGGGACTCAGTCCCAACCTGTCAGGTTGGGCAGCTGATTTACCTAATGGTTATTTGAAGTAGCATAGCTTTACAATTGACCTCAGCAGAAATTTTCCACGTAAAAAATCTGGATTAGTTGCACTAATCGCATCAGGCATCAGCCGCTGTTTCGATTAAAACATCAGACATCAGATCGGCAATTGAAGCCAACATTAGTTGATCCCTAACTTTAATAACCAATACATGTACATAGTTTCCCAAAGTGCATTGTAGACTAGGCAACGTAGAGCAAACTGGAAATATTTGGATCATTCCAGGACACCAGCTCCTGAAAACTTGCCCATCATGGTACAATGCAAGTTACCCAAAGCTCGGCAATCACATATTTCAGAGCACTGATTTGATATTATATTCTTGTCGATATTTTGATCACGGTGCTACACCGCCCTTCCATATTTCTATGACACAATGCAATAGGAACAAATGCAAGAGAAAATGAAGGGGGACTAATACATACTTGTAGCTTTTTCAGCCACTTCAACTCCATCAACATCAGCAGAATCCCCCTGTGCACCAGTGTCAATGGTAACCACAGTATCACTGGTATCCATGCTGCATTAAGAAAACAAGCAATTAATTATATACACGTAGAGCGATCTAACTGAAACCTTCTAGAGTTTTACACATGTAGAGGTTTGAAAAGAAACCTTACCAGAGAAAACAGTCAACTCACAAGGTTTCATGATCCACCTCATATTTGGTCCAAAACCAACAGTACCCACTGAGATTCAATGGCACATCAACAAGGGAATAAATATGTGCTTGGTCGGTCTTCAACATGGGTTTAAGACCGACTCAGGGGAACAGATGCGACTATATGTAATGCCCAAGCCGTCAAATATTTATTCCCTTCGTAAATACCTTTTTTTGTCTGAGAGCCAAAAGAACACCCTTGTCCATTTTACATACGTGGGCTTGGCAAGTGCATCACACGTTCCCAACAGGGATGCATTAAACTGTCTCGTATCCAGGTGCCAGAGCATTTTTTACGCGGTGAGCATTATCAAATCTCATCGGCCTTTATCACATGTTAATACACGGTCAGGTTGCACATTGTTGAATCAGGAAACTGTCTGACATGTCTGAGGTATTTATGACTAAACATTTAGAAGTGTACATGTGCATGTATCCTCTGCATAGAAGCATATTACAGACCTGCCAACCTCTTGGATCACATAACTGCACTCTCACCATTCAAAACTTATAATTTTCTTTAAAAATTCTGTTTTGCAAAGAATGAGCATGGGCCGATTCCTGCAGTCATTTTGACCACTTGTCTGGATTACATGTAGGTCTAGTCCTAGTAACTCCGATTGTGTCAGCATTTCTTCACACATAAAATAATCACACAAGAAATGCATTATCGAGGTTGAACAGTGAAATGGCCCTATTCCCACCTGAATTGATCACGTTTTCAAAATTTGACATCTTGAAATGCAAATCGCATGTCCAGTAAGCCTGTTCAATATTCATTTCTTTTCATATTATGATATCATGAAAAAATATCGCGATATCTGATATTATCGACTGAAACACCATGTCTCGAGGGCCACATTAAAAAAAAAAAAAGAAAAAAAGGAAAGATGTACGGCCTTTTTGTTATTTCTACGTTAGACCTCTTGTACCTGTTCGCTGGTGGAAAGCAAATGTCAACATTGAAATTGTGCACATTAAAGTATCATATGATGGCACAGTACGGAAAAAGCCATTTCCCCGCACACATTAGCGGTAAAGTTCGCTCAATAAGGCAACCCCCAAAATGGACAGAGCACATGCGTGTTACTAGAGGGGCTACTGGTATTGATGCCCTCACCTCATTTCTAAGTCATCATTTATTTCTCATGAGTCGACATATTTCGCTCGGTCCATTTTCTACAAGACCACAAAAAATCCTTTGTGTAAGTCGGCAATAAAAATATCGCGCTTCGGTATCGGTTTCCTTCGCCGCGGGTTGCCTAAATGCGTCAAGCGACAATCAACACTGCTCAACTGATACATGTCGCTATTTTTTAAAAATAATCGACAATTCACAACAATATGCACAACACTAGCCATGACAGGAAACTGAGAAGGGAAGTTGTTAAACAATGGCAATTTCTTCTTAACAAAAAAAAACCGAAGTTTGAAAATAAACACAAGTGTCTCAGATGTAAAATAGTGATTCAGAGGCTTACTAAGAAGACAGAAAAGACAACAGGATTTAAATTTTTTTATTTATGTATTTTAACTTACAATGAAATATGAGGGTAACAAAATAAAAACAGGGTCAGTTGGGAAACCGGAAGCGCAACTGTTGGGGGCGCCTTACTTGAAAAATTGGTAAGCCCACATATACGTGTACATACCGGGTAATCTGGCCAATATTAGCACAGAAAATTACCAAATTTTGCAGAGATGTTTTCAAATTGCCTTCCTTTGTGCAACACATTTTTATTCTCATACTGTACATGTCCATGAACATCATTAATGCTCTGCTATCATCACACACACACACACACACACACAGTGATTCTACTCTTTTGTGATCTTACAAAACACTCTCCAATTCAAAAACATAAAGAGAAAATGCAATATTCAATCAAAGTCAAAACACCTGCATGTAACCTTTCTATGTTACAATGCATTCCTCAAGTTTGCAACTCAAAGTATACTTACATGTATCTGTACTTTCAGTTTCCTGGTTTGACTAAGAAACTGACATTTCTGTTTCAATAATTTGGTTGATGTTTCCAAATATGAGAAACATTTATTTCATCCCACTGTGTCAAGGACTGATTCTATTTATTTAGAAGAGACATGTGCAAATTACGCATGACTAAGGGACTAAACATGGGCTTGGCCAGTTTGAAAATGGGCGTTTAAGACTGGCTTCCAGAGAATGGATGCGATTCATTATCAGCTTTCAGTCTCCAGAGTCTTAACCGTTAGTTCAAGACTGGCCATGCACAAATTCCCATTCATATACCTTTTCTAGTCATAGAGTCAAAAGAAGTCAATGTATGATGGATTTCCAATTTCTTTGGTTTTACAATTTTACTTTCGTTTTCCAGAACACCCCTGTCCATTTTATAGTATATTCCTTGTGCAAGTTGTTCAATATAATCTCCTTATGGGGATTCCAGAAATTAGGGGTCCAAAAGTGTGACATTTTTGTGTCCCTGTTACATCTGACTTTTGCTTTTTGACATGAAAATATAAATGGAATTGATTTCAATCTATTACCATTTGTTTGCAGGGGTGTGAGTGGCCACTTAATATCAAAGCCGAAAACAGCTAGCAAAAAGCTGAAATGTAAGAAGTGCCCGTACAAGTACGTGTGTACTCAGCAGGTGCCAAAAAAGCTGAAATTCAGGGTCAACATCCGAGCGAAAAAAAGCTGAATTTTCACATCTCTGTGTTTGGCAAGTAATTTGCATTAATTCATCACTCTTGGAAATTATAAATGTGTTCTAAACTTACAAAATCACGTCAGATATGACAGGGACACTAAACAAAATGGACCCCTAATTTCTGGAATTACACTTATATGGACTTGGCACATGCATGACGAACCATGTGCACAGAATTGATTAAACTGTTTCTTATCCAGGCGCCAGTGCGTATTATCACTTCTCAGCGGGCATTATCATGTGTTAATGCACGGTCAAAATTGCACGCTGTCGAATAGGAAGCCTGTCTGAGGTATTTACATGTATGAATTAGCAAATAAACAATCTAACACTTCACCTGTCAGTTCCACCTTGGTCTGCCATCATAGATCCTCCTCAAGAACCTGCACAAAACAAACAGCAATCATTAAGCCATTTACATGAACCTTGAGCTTGGCACAAGCCTAGAAATTCAGGCTGTTGGACTGAATAGCTGCACCTGTACATACATGTGGGAAATACTGAACAATGCACACATGTATGAATTTGTACAACATACATGTCCATGAGCGTATGTGTTTGCAAGTGCACACTGTGTAGGAGTAATTTAATATGATGCCTCATGCATAGAAGAGTCGAGCTACCAGATTACAGACCAATAGTCTGCATGTCCTCAAGGCCGATGTTGTTTGCAGTAATTTGTTACTATAACCACCAATCGACCACATTAATTGAATTATAAATGTACAATGTACAATGTGCGTATTTTGACACAGAGAGGTATGGTATACATACACCATACATACCATACAACCATACAAAGAGCTACAAGCAGCTACATACATTCATGTTCCAGACATGTAGTACGGATAGGAAATTAGGGATGCACTTAGCAAAATTATCATAAAGACCGTAAGACTAACGACCATACTTAAAGATTCCACCAACTTAATTCATCAACGAACCAAGACAAACAAATATTCTCTTGTCCAAGACACTGCAAAGACATGTACATTCAACATATTTATGGTTTGCATACACTACAAAAATTGCATATTTCAGTGCATATGTATATGCATTACATGTATACGTATTTCACATGTGAATGTATTCATCATGTACATGTACAAGTTCATTAGACAATGTGGTTACCTTTAATGCAACCATGATTAAATTCAGTTTTCCTGTCAATCTTAGTCAGGAAACTGCTCCTACTTTTGTACACATCTACATGTA